ACCGGCTAAATATCAGGAGAAACTTCCTAACTGTAAGAGTGGTTGAGCAGTGGAACAGACTGCCTCGGGAGGTGGTAGATGCTCCTTCGCTGGGCATTTTCAAGCGGAGGCTTGACGACCATCTTTCGGCTATGTTGTAGGGCTATCTTTCGGCTATGCTCCTGCAGAGTGCAGGGGGTTGGACTAGATGACCTGCAAGGTCTCTTCCAACTCTAACATTCTATGATTCTAAGGGCTTTGAACACAGAAAGCATTGTGTAAATATTAGTAGTTTGGTGGTAACTTAGTTTAAGAACAACGTTTGAGTCCAGTGGCATCTTTAAGACCAATAAAGTTTTATTCAAAGTACAAGGTTTCATGTGCAAGCACACTTCTTCAAATACAGTGAAACAGAATTTTCTCAGTCATTACAAATAGAAAGAGAGAGGGTGGGGGGGGAGGTTAGTTGCCAGGAAGGGCCAATTATAGTCAAGACAGAGACAGAAACAAAATTGGAAATTACCAGTCCATACATGTAGGTAGAGGGTGAGCGGTAAATTATTGGGCAGCATAATGAAGATGCTTAACAGATACAAGGATCAAACAGGAATAATAAGTTTCGTTTATATGGTAACCATTTGTTTGGGTTCAATCCTGGGGCAAAAACAGTGAAAGAAATAAATATGTCAAAATTGGAGATAGGTGTATCCTTAATTGTAGAATGCTGAGAGTAATTAATTGAGACCCTGCCAGAGTTTAAGAAGTTGTTTTTAAAACGAAGCCAACCCTATAATTACAAAGTATTACAGTCGATTAAAAGAAATTTATATCAGCTCAGTTCGGCCTCCTGAAGAAAAAGAATGTCTCCTTTTCCCCCAAAATACTTGTGAAGAGATACTGAGACAGCCAAGCTAAGCATATTTATTGGGGAGAAATATCCATTCAGCTCCATGGGAGATGTTTTTGACTAAACATGCTTAAGATTGGACCACATGAGCACTAGTCACAATTCATTCACATACTTAACTTTTCTGTTCCTCTTCTATTCTATTTAAAAAAAAGAAAGAGAGCATTATATACTTATGCCCAGACCTTCTCCCCATTGGGGAACCGAAGCTTTGTACAATGTCATTCTCCACTCATCCATTTTATCCTCACAACAACACTATGAAGTAGGCTGGGCTGAAAGAAAGTGACTGGCCCAGCCAGTGAGTTTCTATAACCGTGGGGATATGAATCTAGGCCTCCCAGTTCCTAGTCCAACACTATAAGTACTACACCATGCTTATTCTCCGTTTAAACGGGACGATGCCTTTGGATTATAAATTTATTCATTCTAGACTGTAAACCTGAGAGTTGCTTCCTGGAAAACAGGAGCCTTGAAGTTTTTCTGCAGTTTTGCTACTTAAAAAAAAGGATATACGGGGGGAAAGTGTGACTATTCTCTGAATGATGTATTTAATTATTTCCTAATTGACCCATGTATCCCATAATTGGTCACCCCAATTAAAATGTTACTTTCTAGATGAGAGTATAGTGGTTTTTCATGATTGAGGTGGTCAGTTGTTGTTTTTAAAATAAACCATTGATTGTTGTTGTTGTTGTTGTTGCACCTATGGCTAAAATAGCTGAATAGCACTGAACAAAAAAAAGTTCTGGGTGAGGTAATCCAGAGATTTGGGTGGGGTTGTCACCAACATTTAGATGACACTCAGCTCTATCTCATGCTTCCAGCTGATCCCAGGGAAGAAGTAGAAACCCTGAACCTGTGTCTGGAGGCAGTTTTGAAGTGGATACGGGCTAATAATCTAACGTGTAATCCTGACAAGATGGAAGTACTACTGATGAGTGAAAGGTCTGAGCTGAGATTTAAGGTGTCATCCATTTGAGACGGGGTTGCACTCTCCTTGAGGGAACAGGTCCATACTCTGGAAGTGGTATTGGACTCAGGCTTACTGCCGAATAAGCCGGTGGCAGCTTTGAGCAGGAGTGTCTTTTACCAGCTTTGACTGGTTAGCCTGCTGTGGCCTTTCCTGGGCAGAAAATATCTGACTGCTATGATGCACACCCTGCTTACATCTAGATTAGATTACTGCAGTGTGCTCTGTGTGGAGCTGCCTTTGAAAAGGGTTCAGAACTTCAACTGGTGCAGAATGCTGCAACCAGGATGTTGACTGGAGTGGGTCATAGGGACCATATCATTCTGGTCTTGGCCCGTCTGCACTGGCTGCCAGTCTGTTTCTGCGTATGATTCAAAGCAGTGGTGTTGACCTTTAAAGCTCTATATGGTTTGGGATCAACCCCTACTCCCTTAGGAATCTACCTGACCACTACAATCATCTTCAGAGG